GGTCGCCTCCCACAAAGGGAGGCCAGACTGCGGCTTAGGCCCGCTCCCCAAGGGGAGCAGGGAGCGGGCCTAAGCCATCAGTAAGACATCCCCTGAGGGCTCCCAGTATGTGAGGGGGGGAAGGTTGGGCTGAGGGACCGCTCCCCCCCAGTGCACGAATTTCGTGCACCGGGCCCCTGTGGGTACATAACCAGAGATGAAGCACAATATTAGTACTAGTGGCCTGGTGCATGGATTCGTGCACCAATGGGGTCTCTCAGCCTGGCCTGTGCCCTCTCACAATCTGGGATCCCTCAGAGGAAATCCGACATCCCCCGAGGGATGTAGCAGTATGGGAAGCAGCAGGCAGCCAGGGAGGAGCCCAAGCTGGTGCTGCTGTGCTGCTCCCATTCATCCTGGCCCAGCTGTGTCTGCTGCCACCGCTAGGTAGAGCTGCCGCAGAGGTGGAAGACACTCCCGCTGCTGCAGCTGTGCTCGACAGCCGTGAGCCCAGCTTCTGGCTGAGCAGCGCTCCTGCTGTGGGAGTGCACTGACCACCAGAGGGCAGCTCCTGTGTTGATTGTCTACCCCCTGGTGGTCAGTGCATGTCATAGTGACCAGTCGTAATGGTCGCTTAGGCTTTTATATATATAGATAGGGAAAGAACAGAGAGGAAAAAAAGGCCATCTGAAAGCACATGAAAACACTATGCTCTCCTGTAAGGTAAGTATAGTAAAACTAAGATTGCTCATGACCAGAGGGCACTCACACTTCGGTTGGTCTTAAAATGAATGAAATGAGTTTTTCAATTTTAGCAGTAGCTTTTAAATAGTTACTTTCAAGAATTTAGTATGATTTTTTATAGTAAAATTACTTTCGCAAGTCAGATTCACATGTGATACAGATAATTTCTTTACCTAAATATATTTGCAGAGCTTACCCTAAAAGCAGAGTCCCCTTCACAGTTCTAATTTGACTTGTCATTTAAAAAAACAAACAGACAAAAAACAGACCCTACCTTCCAATCAGGGTCATGTTTTCGTTTGTCCAATGACGATTTCTCCTTGGCTTTCTTGTAAGCTTTCTTTTCTTCAGCCATTAAAAGTCTAGCAATTTCCTAAACAAATTGAGTCCATATTGTCATTGATTACAGAGTTGCAGGTAGAAAATTACTTTCCAAAGAATATTGGCTAAACAAAGTCATTAACTACCATGAACTCACCTCATCCTGGGCCACTTGAGCTGCTCTTAGATCCACCTGGGTAGCCTATAGTACAGAAAATACAAACAAAAAATTTAATTGGATTCTATGCTGTCCATTTTTTAAAATCCTACATAAAAATAAACTGGTATTTAAAACTAGTTGCGATTAACATCTTTCAAGTTGATAAGGGTTGGTATATATTTGCCAGCTAAAGCGGGGTCTATTTTTAACCAAATTCTGCAGCAGATTCTTAGAGAATTATCAGAACTCAATAATGGAGAGATATGTATATAGAATTCTATTGCTAACACTTGCTCAGTAAATAAAACTACATACTCTAATCCTGTTCTTTGATTTTTCCACCAATTAAAAAAAGGGTATTAGCTCCTTAACTGATAAAGGACTATAATGTGTATTATATAATCTCAAGAATGACTCAATTCACAAAAAACCTTATTCAACTCAACTTCTGCATTAAAATTTGCTCACCAAAATTTCTTCTTCCTGCAGTTTTCTGGCAATTTCAGCATCATACCATTCCTGATTTCTGGGGGTCACTCTCGACGGAGTAGAAACTGATTCTTTCATCCCCCTTGGCTTCATTCCTAGAAAAAACTCAATACAGTAAGGCAACCACGTTTGTTTTCTAAATAGTTGCAAAATTTATGGTAAAAACAAACAAACAAAAAAACTCCACCTTTACCTTAAAGTTTACCTTTCTTTGCTATCTAACACTGACAATACTGCTGCCACTCCAAAATTCAGTGCAGGGTGCACTGGAAATAATTTTTCCCCTAAAACATGGAAGTGGTGATGCAGACAATCCACACACTTAAAGTTACCCACCCAACCCTTCCTGGTAAAACCTCCCCTCTCACAGTTTCTTCAAGAACAGGAAATCAGGCTATCAGGCTAGAGACTGTGAGGCTTTTGCAAAACAGAAAGTTAAAAAAAAAGGGGGGGGGCCCTAGCCAGTTTGGCTAAGCAGATAGAGCATTGGACTGCGGACTGAAGGGTTCCAGGTTCGATTCTGGTCAAGGGCACATGCCTGGGTTGCGGGTTCAATTCCCAGTGGGGGGCGTGCAGGAGGCAGCCAATCGATGATTCTCTCTCATCGTTGATGTTTCTATCTCCACCTCCCGCTCAATTCCTCTCTGAAATCAATAAAAATATATTTTTAAAAAATCTTAAATTTAAAAAAAGGGTAAGTCAATGAAATAAATAGAGTTCAGAGGAAAGAAAGGTACAGAGCTGAGGTTTTAAAGAGGCTAAGCTGTCAAGACTGGAGGAAATGAGAGACTTCCTTCTATTTGCTTCAGCCTTGCACACCTTCCCTCCGAGAGAATAGAACAGCATCCCAGGGGAGTTATGTGACCAAGTATCTTTTAGCACCCAGTGGTCCTGCTGTGGCTTCTGCTCTGATTGCCAACAAGCCCACTTGCTTCTCCTATCTTCCCTATAGCTCTGATCAGTTTACTGTTGTTGTGAAATTTTATGGAGGGTATAACATAAAGAAAACAGACCATAATGACTCTAGAGTTTTACTCCTCTGAGAAAGGAACAGGCAGGGATGAGGGGGATTTTGGCTTTTTATTTTGAAATTTTAAATGCCACATACATTCGTTTTATAACTTTTAATAGACTGATAAATGCTAACGGTCATTTCAAAATTGTGGATATTTCCTTCTTTGTACCCTCTCTAAATTACAACTATTCAACAATGTGAATACATTATACTCGGAAATAATAAAAATGTTGAATGCAGTGAATGAGATTAACTATCTGAAATAGCGACTTCAGTAAATGGATTGCTGACGGGAGAAAGAAAATTCACTCCTAACTGTGTATTTCTTTATATCAGTGGTTCTCAACCATGGCTGTATACTAGAATCACTTGTGGTGCTTTAAAGAAACACAAAAAAAACTTGACCCAAATCCCAGGAATTCCAATTTAAGTAGCCTGGAGAGATCTTGCCTTTAGTATTTTGTTTTTTAAAAATCTTTAACAGTTGATTATTTGCAATTAGCATTAGAACTACCAGTTTAGTGTGTTATGTCCATCAAAATAACGACACATTAAAATGGCTTTTAGCAAAATGCCTCACCACATTTGATTTGCTTGCTTTAAACAAAAAAAGAAAAAAGGAAAGACAAGAAAATACAACTAAATTCTGGGCAGATGAAGAGAGTAAGTTTTCTGGTGAAGCCTTTCTTAGTAGAGCTTTGAACCTAGCTTTGCGGTAAATCCTAAAGCCACAGACTCATCTGCCCTTCCCACACAAAATAAGACTATTAAACATGGTTTTCTTAGCTTCAGGCCAATTAGTACATGACTGCCCAGAAGAGAATCCACTTCAACTTCCCATCCTTTCTAGAGCTACTAACTCTTATGCAGGCGGGTCTGGTTTTAATCCAGATTTCTGAGTGGTTTGGGACAATCACAAAACAGTAGCACACTCCCAAGAGTGGACCATATTTAAGTGGAATATACACCTCCCTGAGTTATAATTAGTGTGGTCATAGCTAGAAAGGAATATTTTAGATAAAATAAATAAAATTATATAAGGAAGTTCATATTGAGCAGTCAGTGGACAAGGTAGATTGCTGTATCATATTCCTATCTATAGAAAAAAGACACATTGAGCAGCCCAAGGCCTAGTTGAGGACAATAGGAAAGATTACTCTTATCTCTTGCCCCTTCAATTTTGCCATCCAGTGAAAGAAACAATATAGTGGGATATGTCCAACTTTCTCCACTATTATGCCTCCTACTCTACATCACAGAATTAACTGAGAAAATGTTTTAATATCTATCAAAGACACTTGGAAGGTATTCAAATGCAATAGTCTTAATTGGCTTGACAGTTTGAGAAGACTGTAACCTCTTGGCAGTTAAAGAGAGAATGATACATAGATCAATGGAACAGATTAGAAAGCCCAGAAAAAAAAGAAATTGGCTTGACAGTTTGAGAAGACTGTAACCTCTTGGCCGTTAAAGAGAGAATGATACATAGATCAATGGAACAGAATAGAAAGCCCAGAAAAAAAAGACAAGAAAAAACTTTTAACATATGATCATTTGCAACAAATGAACCAAAAATATATAATGGGAAAAGAACAGTCTCTTCAATAAATGGTGTTGAGAAAAACTAGACAGCCACATGCAAAAGAACGAAACTGGACCACTATCTTCCACCATATGCAAATATTAACTCAAAATGGATTAAATAATTAAACATAAGATCCAAAACCATAAAACTCCTAGACATAACATAGCCAGTCAGATCCTTAACATCGGTCCTGGAGATGATTTTTTGGTTTTGACACCAAAAGCAAAGGCAACAAAAGAAAAAATAACAAGTGGGACCAATCAAACTAAAAAGCTTCCACACAGCAAAAGAAACCATTAACAAAACCAATGGCAACCTACCAAATGGAAGAAAATATTTGAAAATCACATAGCTAATAAGGGGGAATTTCCAAAATATATAAAGAACTCATACAACACCATATATATATATTTATATGATTAAAAATGGACAGAGGATCTGAATAGACATTTTTTTCAAAGAAGACATACAGATGGTCAATAGGTATATGAAAAGATGTTCAAAATCACTAATTAACAGGAAAATACAAATAAAAAAACTTGTTAGAATGGCTATTATAAAAATAAATGTTAGTGAGAATGTGAAGAAAAGGTAACCACTATGAACAGTTGGTGGGATGTAAACTGAATTAGTGCAACCATTATCAAAACCAGTTTGGATGTTCCTTGAAAAATTAAAAATAGAACTACTATATTATCCCTCAATTCCCATTCTGGATATTTATCTGAAGAAAGTGAAAACACTAACTGGAAAAGGTATATGCACCCATGTTTACTAAAGCATTGTTTACAATAGCTAAGACATGGAAATAACCTAAGAGCCCACTGATGGATAAATAAATAAAGGAGCTGAGGAATACAGTCATGTGCTCATAGGTACAGAATACATAAAAAAAATAAGTCATGGAAATGTAATATACAGCATGTTGACTACAGTTAATAATACTACCCTATATAATAAAAGGCTAATATGCAAATAGACCGAACAGCAGTACAACCGAACAACCAGTCGCTATGAGCATATCAGGGGACCCACATGGAACATGGCAGACATCGGCAGCAGGCGGCAGGATGGTGGAGCAGGTGAGTGGGGGGACCAGACCAGGGCAGGATGCTGGTTGCCGTCATTGGGGCGAGCCGCTCGGCAGGATGGTGGAGCAGGTGAGCGGGGGCACCAGACTAGGGCAGGATGCTGGTTGCCATCATTGGGGCGAGCCTCTGTGGTTACTGAAAATTCTTTGCTTCTGTGCGCCGTGGTCCTGCCCGGCACTCGCATCTGCTGCCTATGCCAGCCCTGCTCACACCTGCTGCTGGCCCCAATCGCTCTGCACTGTCAGCAGATGCAAGTGGGGCCAGTGCTGTCAGCACATGGGAGCAGTAGCAGCAGGAGCAGGGCTGCTGGCAGACAGGGGACAAGGGGCCGTGGTGGGCGGGGCTAGGCAGGGGCATGGAGGATAGGCGGAGACCCACCCCTGTGCCCACTGCAGCCTTGCGACCCACAGTTCCTTTCAAGGTGCATGAATTCCTGCACTGGACCCCTAGTATTGCATATTAGAAAGTTGCTAAGTGAGCAGATCTTAAAAGTTCTTATCACACTCACAAAAAATTATACCTGTATATGGTGATAGATGTTAACTAGACTTGCTGTAGTAACCATTTCACAATATATATAAATACCAAATCATTATGTTGTACACCTGAAATTAGTATAATGTTATATGTCAACTATACCTCAATAAAAATAGTTAGAATTTGAAGTGCTATCTCCCTAAGTTCCAAATATATAGTGGGAAAACAGTTTATTTGTTCTCTTGCTATACACTGGAACTTTCATATCTCATTAGTAGAAATTTCCATAGCCCAGAATAATTTCTGGAACTTCAGCCAGTGCAATCTAAGGCTATCATTACAGAAAACAGGAATGCTTTAAAAGCACAGTTAATTGAAGAAAATTAACAGAAAGGCTGTCCTCATTTTAATAGCCTAAACATATTTTGAAAACTCACTTTCAACAGTTCCACATTAATTTCTTAATCTAATTTTGCTTTTTTTTGTCTGTTTATGATTCTCCAGTATAAGAACATAAGACCCTTCCTCAGTAAAAAAAAAATAAAATAAAATAAAACTTACCTTTAAATAAATTCTGCTAGGAACAAGGTAAAATGATGACAGATTCTTTAATATAATGCAAGAATATTTTGTAATAAGCCAGTCTGACACTTGGGGGATGTCATAGCAGAAAGGTGCAGAATTTTATGAACCTGAAAGGCTGAAGGTTAACCTGTAGAAAATTAACAGGCTGACATGATATTAACAGCTAAATAGAAAAGTTATCCTCAAAGGTGGTATGGGTGTCCTGGCCTTGAGAAGGTTAACCAATTTTATATTTAATTTAGCAATTTTATTTTGCATTCCCTTTTCAACCGACTGTAAAATCTGGTCCTGCAAATGCTTACTTAGAACAAGCTATTTGTTGTCCTGCTAGTTTCCTGATTATTAATTATGAGGGAAGTTATTAATGCTAATAACTAAGAATAGACACCTGTGCCTAGTAACTATATTTTAATGAAATCCTCTGACCTATTCCAGAGGATTTGGAAAACCTAGCCTAGAGGGGTAAAATCTGTAAAGTAAGTTGAATACAAAATGACAGACACAGCACTATGTTAGTAGCCATGTTAGTACCTGCCCAGCCACATTGTTTTTTAAACCCCTGTGCTGGCAAAATAAAAAAATAAAATAAAAATAAACATTTACCTATACCTCCAGTAGTCGGGTCTGTGATTCAGTGTCCAGCTTTATATCAGTTTCACCCTTCCTAAGCCTGTTTAACATTTCCTCAAGTATAATTAAAAGCCATAAAGGTTAACCAGCCCTTGGAGCACACTTATAAGGTCAGATTCACAGAATCAAAAATATAGAGGTTGGTGTAATCACTGCTCCTCCCTCAAACCTTTAGGACTCCAACACGTCTTTCTAAATCTGGATATAGTATAACTCACTCATAAAGCCTACTCCAGATAGAATATATCACTTCCTCCTCTATGCTCCCTATAACTCACTGTTCAAAGTATATCTAATTTGCAATTGCTGTTTACATAGCCATAGTTTTGCCTTCAGTTATTAATCCTCTGAGGCTCAGATCTAAGCATAAGCCCCCAAACACAAAGCCTGAGGCAAGAATATCTGTGACAGGTGTTAGTATGGCTTGCTGGACTGAATTTTCATTTTCTTTTTGACCAAGTCCTTTAACAACTTAAAGGATTAAACTGATAGGAAGCAGCAACTAAATCAACCTGAATCTGCAACCTCAAAACCAGTTTCCAGGTCAGAAGTAGAGGTTGGCTGGGCAAACACTAAAGAAGAAAACAAGAACAGATGCCTCCTTGGTACTCCTTTCCCAATAACCCTTGCATTTCTAAAAAACTTCAGTAGGAGTAAAATAGATCCAGGGAGGTAAGTATGGTCTACTACCAGATAGAGCAGTGCTAGGGCTTACAGTGTTACAGCCACAAGGTTTCCAGACAAAAATAGAGAGAACCTTCACTGTATCAATGATGGACTTCAGAGTTAAATCTCAGAGGTGCCAGAAATGGAAAGCTTAAACCTAAGGTTCTCTTCATTCCTATAAAAGTACAGGTGTGCCTTAGAGATATTGCAGATTTGGTTCCAGACCACCACGATAGAGCGAGTGTGGCAATATAGCGAGTCATAACCTTTTTGCTAGAGGAGGGTCTCACCTTCAATTTGTAGAAAATGCAACATCTGTGAAGTGCAATAAAGTGAAGGGCCTGCACCAGGAACTTACCTGATATGGGCACCTCAGAACAACAACTATAGAGTTAGGGTTGAAGAACATTAGGCATAGAAAGAAACCTAAGGCAAGGATTTTCAAACTTTCAGTACACAATTGTCTCCAGGTCTAAAACAAGCCCAAATTGCCAGGCCACACTCCAGAGATGATAATATATGGGAGACCCAAAATCTGCATTTTTATGAAATAGTTCAGCTGCTTCTGATGAAAACTGATAAGGCTCCCAATATACAAAGCAGCGTCGTAAGAGACTGCCTATCCACTCTCTCACGTTACAGATGGGAAAGATAAGGGCAAGAAAATCTAGAACCTCCAGCCCCATTGGTCTTCTGGTTAAACAAATGCTATGAAGGCAGTGTCACCAGATCTTCTGGGTTCACTGAAGCAAAACCAGAAATTCGGGAGCTTTGCTTTGGTATCTGAATCTCGGATGTAGGATCTTGGCAAGGGAAGAACTGTATCTGGGAAGGGCACCTCCACTGCCGTCTAGGGCTGGAAGGACCGGGTAACTCTCTCGGAAGACAGAAAGGGAAAGTCACCAATATTTTTCTTCTTCCTGCTTACTTGAGATTAAGGAAACACCTTATGTGAAATTTGGCTCCAGGTTTATTTCATAAGAACAGGTTGCTTGAGATGCTTACTAAAGACATTAGCTTATACGTATACACAAATCCAGGCCTTGCAACAACGTCCTCTATTACCTGTGTCATGGAGGTGGAGCTGCTCCTCACTCTCTGAGAAGGGAGGAGTCCTGGGCCTGTGCTTCCGCTCTCTGCGCTCCCCTTGCCCACGCTCCCTCCCATAAGCAGCCTCCTTGCAGTGAATCCCTGCTTTTGGAGAAGACTTCGGGGAAAGCCTGTCTTGGTGTCTGGAATGTTTTTCCCAATTCCGAGTCCGATGGCTACTGCTAGCCTCCCGGTCATCAGATTCCGTGCTCAGAAACACTTCACCGCTGATCTTGGGAAGAGGAGGTCTCCTGGGCCTCTCATGGCCAGACCCTTTCCTTTCACACAGCTCAGTGATAATTTGGGGATCATCCCTCACTCTGCGTGAGCCAGAGGACAGAGACTTCTCAGGTAAACGATGCTCTTCCAGTTCTTCCCAGTTCTCCGGTGGATGTCTGGGTTTCTCCTTTCTTGGCTTCACAGTCTTTTCATCACTTTGGAGTTTACAAGACTTTAAGAATCCAGAACCCAATTCCCTTGCCCTCCTTGACCGTGGCTGGTCTGAGTGGCGGTAGAGGAATGTGGAAACAGAAATGCAGGTTAACTTAATCAGATTATGAACTCACTATACAGGTGAGACAGGATCCAAACCTAACCTGTTTTAAAATGAAGAGGACCACTTTTTCAACTTAACAAACTGAAAGTAGGGGATGGGCATCTACTGGAAGGATTCTGGGTACATAGCCAAAGAAGTAAAATAAATGAAGTAATTCATTCATTCAATCAAGTGAAATAAATCTGAAAGATCTTGATCATGATTAGGAAGAGTTAACAAAGCACTTTAATATTTGCCAAAAACAGAAATTACAGCCATTAAATGTTAAATTATACTTATAAAACCAATTTGGAACTGTATAAGGGGGGAAATGGGGGTTGAGGAAATCTCATAAAACAGAAAAAACTAAGCTTCGTGATTCCAGTCAGAGGCTTTCAAATATTCTTCTTGGAAATAATAAATCAAGATCAGAATGTTGATAGTTTCCATGTAGTTCAGAGAAATGATCCACAGATTTTAGTATTCCTCTATCCTTTCCCCTTAGGTGGCCAAAGCAAACATTCCCAGCCATACTGGGTTCAATGTGAAAGAGGGTGAAGTAGAGGAGAATTTTAAGTGATTCAATGACCCTGTTATCTTTGGATAATTCTGCTCCCAATCTTACTTGAATCATGGCAGAGAAAAAAAAATAAAAAGAGATGCCATCATGGAATACACAAAAAATAGTCATTTCCTAAATTCATTTTTAAAACTTATGATTCTATATTATTTATATAAAAATACAGTATGTGCTAAATATACAAGTCCCTAAGTTTAACACCATGTTTAAAAGCAGCAAAATAGGTGCTTTTGTTGGGTCTCACTTAGGCACAAGTATAGTATAGAAACAAAGGAAGTACATTAATATGCACTTTGCAAGAGTGTATTTATTTTAACATTTCTAAGCCAATAATACATTCAATACATTTGCAAAATAATAAAAGGAGACCCTAATTCCATGGAAAATTTTGAAGATAGCTGGAATTAGTCATTTGCTGAATTGCATTTAAAACAGCTACCCTAAGTTGACAGGATATAAAATAAATAAAGAACTATACATTTTTTAGTTTCTAGGTTTTACTGTGGTTTTTGGATTTGGTTTTTTTTTGGTTTTTTTTTGTTTGTTTTGCTTTGGTTTTTTGTTTGTTTTTTAGGTTTGTTATGTTAATCTAATAAAGGAATAGAGGAAGGAAAGATATATGGTAAATGCATCATTGATGCCATAAGCTTCTCAAACATTTTGAACTACTTCTTGAACTTAAGAAAATTTGCTTCAAAGATGACATCTAAATTAAGATGTCTTCTGAAAAGTCAGTAAAAGTACTTATCTTCAGAATTTATAGTTAAATTTTTTACATAACAGCAAAAGTGAAACAGAACAATTACTCTGTAATTAAAAAAAAATAGCACCTACTCTTTTAACCACTTATTTTAAGTGTATCTTGACAACTGAGGAAGAACCAATTGACTACTGCTGTGAATTAATATAATACAGACAGCTATTTGAATGATGACCACATCCAGGGAACAATGACTTGCAGTGTTAGTACCAGTGTTTCCAAAGACAGCTGCATGCATGAGTGAAGTCCGCCTTTAAGGCCAAAAGAAACAAGAAGTGTTTTGTTTTCAACATGGATTTTTGAGGCTATGATTATTTTGTTGTTGTTTTTTTAAATTCTTTCTCAAGCGTTATATGGTATTAGTAGTTTTACTAATTAGTAGGGCAATGTGTTACAAGAAGGAAAGCAGAACAGTCACTACATTTTCAGAGTTGATGGGATAAAAATATTTATTGTTTAGTTAATTTGCTGTGACATCTTTAAATATGGGAAAGAAAAAAAAAAGACAGGGGTTGAGGAATCTGGATCCTTTAAAAACCCATCCAGTTAAGGACTGAGATTTGTACATTTCTTAAGACCAAGTTATTTGGCAAATATAATTAACTTCCTTATATACATATACATGCATATGTACATATATATGTGTGTATATATATATATATTTGGTGCCTCCATGTTTGTCTTTCAAAATAAGATGATGTTTGTTTAGATATAAGAAGTACTTTGTTATACATACATAACATTGATGTATATATATAAACAATAGTACTTGAGAGTTTATAGGTCTTCACCAAAATTACATTATTTGATCTTCTCAACATCCATGAGGAGAATATATTATTATAATCCCCATTTTACAAATGATAAAATCATATGACTCCAAAGACCATAACTTAAAAAAAAATCACTAATATACCTGCAATACAGGTAAGTGGCTTTGAAAGAAAAACATGGATTCACAAATGAGTAAGATATACCATTTCAGCTGATATAAATCTGACAGATATTGGTATAATCATAAATTGGTATAAAATTTATAAATGATCATTTTTAAAAGATTAATTTATTAAATTTTAAGTAAAAACACCTGAAAGCTTCTGTAATAATATACTGTGATTATTATGTAAGTAAGGCAAAAATCATATTACACAAAGACAGAGAAGTACAATGAAAGAATATCTCTTATGTGTTGGGAAAGGACCACTGCAAAGAACATAAGGACCACTTTGTAAATACAAACTGAATTGTAATGTGATTCCTCTGATTTCAACTTGGGTCTAACTCAGAGGCATATAAGTAAGGATCACATGCTCAGCAATACATAATCTCTCAACAACAACACCACTGAAGACGAATTCCAACATTTACAAGCATATGCTAAGGAGGTCACTACTTCATATTCCCAATCCCCCAAAAGTGGCATATATGCCACTCTCTATAAGTTTACAAAAGCAGTTAAGGTATATATAGGATAGTGGGTGTTGTTGTTTTTTTTAACTTTTAAATATCCCTGAAAATCCACTGAATTCTTAACATATGATATGAATCAGGATGAGGGCACTGTGATCAAAACAACCAGGTTTGAGTTCCAATTCAAGTTAGTATAAGGTTTTAAGAGAGAGAGACTGAAATTAATATTTTAGTATACTCATTGCCATCCTAATGGTTTTTATAGACTTGAAAGTTTAAAGTAGTTATTTTTATTTGCAGTGAACATGCCTCCAGAGTAAAATTAAAAATAAAAACAAAATAAAAACACATTCCTAAGATTTTAATTAAGTCTAAAGAGTAACTCTTTACCTACTGGTCTCTAGTATAGCACAACAGGGCCATAATGTCTCTTTTTAAATGATGCACTACATGTCTGCATTAGAAAAATCAGTGTAAGAAAAATGGGTATCCAAAAAGAGCTGGGCACTTTACATATGGAAGAAGAACACAGCAAGCAATAAATGGAGAATCAACCTGCTTACTAATTACACCATAGGGCTGAGCTCTACTGATTATGATCAATTTGGAGGAACAATGTGACTGAGCAAGATGCACCTAAACTGTGATAATTCCATCATCTGCATATACATTCCTTTCATTCTACTCATCAAAAACAAACACCCAATTACCTTTCTTAATGAAATTATAGAGAAGCAACTGACAATTAGTTTGCAAAGGTCTTTAAAACCATCGAACTTAAATCTTTACTCTCTAGAAGCAGCCTTTAGATTTTATTTATTTGTTATCCTAAGTATGGCCTCTGAGCTGAACTACAATAAACACTCATACTAGAAACTATAGGAAATATCTTCCTTTGACAGATCTTTAAAAAGGACTGAACAATAACCTGCAAATACTCGTTTCCCAACACACTGAAGGTGAAGAGCCACCACCACCAAAATTGCCCACCACCACTGCAAACACAAGCACTAGAAAGAGAAACTTTGAAGGGACTTCCTTCCCCCAGAAAGTTTTCTATGTGGTAATTGAATAGCAAAGAAAGCATCAAGAGCAAAATAATGAACAGAGAATCATAAATTTTAATTTGTCACCATTGGCTTATGTTTAAAGGACAAGATGAATGGGGAAAAAAGCTTTGAATCTAAGGATAGAGTAGGTCATGATGTAGGCAATGTTACCTCCGTCTTCATAATAGTAACTCTCTCCATAAGCATTGGCTCCAGAGGATTCTGGGATGTGTTTCTTTCTCTTTTTCTCTTCCTGTAACTCCTTTTCTTGCAAAAGGCGAGCTATGTCCTGCAAATAAAGAGAGAATGAAAATAAATATTAGCAAAACACAATCTCCATACAATGACCCCACAGGTCAATGATTCTACACTCCACTGATAAGCTTTTGTAGGCGGGCTCTGTCTATGGTTCTGCAGACTTTCTGGTGTTAAACTCATGCAATTTAAATAGCACAAATGAATGTTCAACAGGAGAGGCACAAGATCCAGATGACAGAGAAAGGTATTTTTTAAAATTTAAACTTAATCTGAAGATATTCAAACGTAGTATACCAAAAGTTGGCTATACAACAAAAATTCGTATTTGTGAGCCCTTTTCCCAAGACAATGATTCAGCAAGTCTGGGTGGAGAAGGATACAGTAATCTATAAAACTTTATAAACTGTATTTATAATTTAATGTTAAGAGTTTTTGGCTGATCCTGTTTGAGCTCTGCATCAGAGTACCACTGTCTTAACTGAAAAAGAGAAAACAGTCTTCCTCCTGTCTCCCCTCTACTTCATCTCCAGGCAAGATTTAAGCAATTACTGAATGATGAGCAACATTCTAACCCTGTCCCCAAAATATTACAATCTCCCTAAAAAAAGAAAGGTGCATACAAATAACTACAAGTATATTATAAAACCTCAAAAGAAGGATAAAAATGTCTATGGGACGACAAAAAAGAGAATATTATTTCTCCTTAAAGGAATTAGTGCAAGTCTCTGCATCTGTGTTTAGTTTTGAACAAAGAACTGGATTCCAATAGGTTAAGTAAAAAGAGAGAGCATCATCAGCAAAATTATGTCTTAATGGATATTAATCTACAGAATGATCAATAGTCCAATTAGAATGTGAGTGTTGCAGAGAAAGGTAAGGCTAGAAAAAATAGTCTAAGGCTGAATCACAGGCATTCCTTGAAGACAATTTTAAGAAGTCTGGAGTAGATAACGTAATAAATGAAGGGTTACTAAATGTTTTGAGCTGAAAAGTGACAGTGTTCTGAATCTGAAGATTATTTCTATGAAAGCCCCATAAAATAACACATAAACTTGGTTTGTGTACACTTTTTTGAAGAAAAGGTCCAGAGCTGTCACCAGACTCTTAAAGGCTCATACAAATATAGCAACAACACTCAATGGTGCAAACAGTAATAACAATGGTAGTTTGAGGTGCTTATTTCTTTGTATTTATAACAAGAAATACAGAAGTGCCTAAATGTTAGTGTAAATTTTGAAGAATCAATTACTATTCTTCCTTTTGCAATTTTCTGAATAAGTCAAAATGAAGAATATAGTAAGACTGGAAGACAAAAAAAAATGCCATTTAAATAATTTTTTTCACACAACAGTGTAGAAATAAGTTGGATGCTGAGGCTGGATAAATTAGCAATGATTATCCAGATACTCAATATTTAATGTTCACCAAAATAGGCTTACAAATCTGACTTTATATTAAATAATGCCTAAATTCAAAGTTATAAATACACTGTTGCCTTTATTTGAGTGCTACCTACACTGGAAGATTCTCATAAAACTGTGCGAAATATAAATAAGTACATATTTATATTTTATAAATAATCTATATAAAAGCCTACGTTACAGTGTCAGACACTTGAGTGTGCACTCACAAAATGTTGCTACTCAGAATGAGAGGTAAAAAACACAATCCTACTTAACACACACCATTTTCATGCAAAGAAATGGTCCCTAAGTCTGAAGTTAAGATGATTTCCTTTTTCCTTCCAGTTCAAGCCAGAGATGTTCTAGAGATACTATGAAAGAAATACTAACCACTAACATGAGTTTCTTTGGGCTTCGAGTCTTTATCTATACAATGAAGAGTTTGAACTACTCAATCTTAAAGTCAAATATCTTGACTCCCTTAGGTACCATTTTAATAAATCTATGAGTATTACCAGGTACCAGCTGCCGTGCCAGGTTTATTACATTTGATGCCTTACAAAGCAATATGTCAATCGGGACAATAGAGAGGTGGGACAGACAACTTGTTCTCCCAAAGTTATCATCTGTTATAGGATTTTCAAAATTCCTATACTTTTTGCTTCAGAAGTAGGGAAAAATGCTAACAATTCCCTAAGTCATCATGTTTATTAAGCACCCAACACTACATTTTCCTAAGTGGTTTTCTTTACAGAAAACAAAAAATTCCCCTTGCTATAACTGAGTAAAAAATATAAGGAGCAATTATCAGCTCCAAATGTCAGCAGAAATTATTAAACTACACTCCATAGACACCTTATAATTGCATTCCTACTACCGAACTTAGTCTTAATAAATACATACTAATAAGTTGCTTTCTCAGTGTGAAAAGCCAGCAGAGAAACAAGGATGATGCCCCTTTACCACAACACATTAGCTAGTCAAAAGAAGTGATGTTAATCAAGTAGAAAAAAAATCATGTCTCATGCACCTTAGCACCCAAACCTTTTCCTTTTTTGAAGCTCTTGGCTCTCTGAGTAAGATTCTACCTGGTAAGAAAAAGATGACCTAAGCTTGAGGAGTGAAAGAATAAAAGTCAATGGAAAAATTACTGCTTTAATATAACAGTGGTTTAGCTTAAGTCAATTCTCCCCCGTGCTTTCCAACATTATTACTGTGCAATGAGTTCAACTGGGTGATTTCAATATAAAAAATTTCCCCTGAAACAAGCTTACAATGGCAACTATGAGTCACAATGCTTGGATGCGACATTAATAACCTCCTTGGTCTTCAGCTTCTTCCTGTTAAAGGTTAATCTAGAACAGGATTTCCCAAGCTCTGTTCCTAAATACAGAGGACTCAAAAGGTTCTCCTAAAAAACTCAAAGCATTCCATGGAAAGCAAGTATTATAGCTAACTTTTTAAAATGAGCATTAGGATATTTTAAAACTTTGATAAAAGAGACCTGTTATCTTCCTATAATTCATGAATTTCTAAATTTACTTTGTGGCAGAAGCCTTTTTTTTTTTTTACATAAAAATATAAACCTTATAGAATTAGTGTTCCATAAAACATAACTTGGGAAAACAAAGCTAAAATAACTCATAAGCCCTTCTGAAGTAATTTTCCATGATTTTTTTTTAAAAAATTATCTTTTTTGCTGAAAGGATTACAGATGTCCCTTTTTGTTTCCCCACTGATCCCCTCCAACCCACACCCACGCTTCCCCAGGCCTTCACCACACTATTGTCTGTGTCCATGGGTTATGCATATATGGATATAACTTCTTTGGTTAATCTCTCACCATCCACCCTCCCACCCCCACCTTCCCTCTGAGACTCAACAGTTTGCTCCATGCTTCTATGTCTCTGGATCTATTTTGTTCATCAGTTTATTTTTTTTAAATTAATCATATTCATCAGGTAGACTTACTTTGGACAACACAGAATAACTGTGATATAGAAGACTTTCTGGCCAAGCCATTTATTGGAATGACAATTTACCATTATATCTCATCTCTCCCCTTTTTGTTATCCAAGTCACCCAACTGGAAAATCTGAAGCTGTGAGCATAAGAAAGAGCACAGTAGAAAATCTCTAGAATGTTAAGGAAAGTCATTTTAATGAAAACAAAGATTTGCTGAACACCTTCAATGGGCCAAACATACTGTTAGAAGCCTGTAGAGAAACAAGACATGGTCACTATCCTGAAAGTCCTTATCTATCAAGTATTAGAAGCAAATAATTACATAATGTAAGATGTGCAAAGATTAAGTGCCCTAAGAGAGGCATTAATACAAGCAAGGTGAGAGGGAGCCCACAGGAGCCTGGCACATTTTTCTCAAGCAGTTGACAAATTACTGAGCCATGGTGTTGGATTCCTTAAGTATTTTTATGATTTATATGATTTCATAACAGGATTATTTCTCCCTGGGGAAATCTTGGGTATAACAACAACCTAAAAGAGATCTAAAGTCGTGATAGTCAAATGACTGTCAGAAAGAAGAAAGAAAAAAAAAGTAAGCCATTCCATTAGATTGCTGAATTTTTTACCAACTAGCAATAACTTTACCATCTAACTCAGTAGGGAACTCACAGCAGGTATAATCCCAAAAGGGTTACTGTATAATACTAGGAAAACAAGATCATTCCAATTCTATGGACGCAAAAACATCAGTATAAATAGGATAAAAACAGAGAAGACTTTTTCTTAGCTAGAGTTTCCCATTCACTATCCCTTTATTGCTATATATATATAGTACCAAAACATAGGAAAAATTTTAGTAACTAAAATGTATTACTATTTGAGCTATTCTCTAAATATCACCAACTTATATAAAAATTCTTCTAGACCATGGAATTCTAATCAGTTAAAAAATGCTATGAAAAAAGTAGCATGGTCACATTCGATTAATTTTTAATGTAAATTGGTTACTAAATATGGACGAGCAGTGCATATTATAAATGATTTTAAATTGCTGGACTAGTGCCACAGACTTTTTATAACATGGTTGGCTATGTTGTTTACTTAAGAAAAAAAGAAGTTTTTTTTTCTAACAGCCACATATATTTGGACTTGTTGGCTGTGAGAATGGCAACAGGTGTTAGACCGGTTGGGTCAGACCAAACCTGGGTTTAGCAACCGTGGTATTTGAGCCCTGGCTAGGAAAGAATTCAGAGCCAAGACTCAATAAGAGAAAGTTTATCTGGAAAGTCACAGAGGTAGAAGTGAGTGGTACAAGCAATGTAGAAAACCAGTTACAGAGGCAAAAGAAGGGCACTTAGGGCTTAGGAATGAGAAGGATAAAGGTAACATGCCTGGGGTAGGAGAAAGAGGAGAAAGACTAGGGTATGCTCCTAGGTCCTCTGTCCTAAGAGCTTTAAGGGCAGAGGTTTTATGAGAAGTCTTGGGGGAGGATCCTGACAGAATATTCATCAGCTTTCTAGGTGTGTCCTTCAGGGTCATGGTCTCCACTCATTGGTTGGCACCAAGATAGGGGGTCATTATCCAATGCAACTGGTCCCGAGGTCAGCCTGTGGGGACGCTTTTCTGTTTTTGCTGCTTTTCTGGGCCTCGATCTGAAACACAACTGAAGTCTACATGTATTTGATGTGGGTCAGAACCTTAATGTCCTGGGGGCTTAATGATTAGGGCTATTTTTCCACCCTCTTAACCCTCATAACTAGCAACATGCCAGGGAAGAAAAGGTCAGGGGGGGTCCAGACCGAATGACCAGCTATATGAAAGGTCAGTGGGTCTAAACCAGATGACCAGCAATATGCTAGGGGAGGAAAGGTTACCCTGAGGGCGAGGTCTTTGTTTTCCCAGTTTTGCTCATTGCGAGGCACCTGGAGCTTTCCATCCTGGTGATCTTCTATACCTGGCCCATCATCCTTGCTCTGTTCATGTCTAACTACAAACCTAAGTTCAAAGACACATATATGTATTTCTATGGATAGTCTCTCTCTCTTTCTCTCTATCTCACACATACACATACAGATAGATACACACACACTTTCTCTCTTAGAGTTTTATTTAAGAATAACTAAGTTAAATGAACTAAATACACACTCCTTAGCCTTATTAAAGGGCACTGACAAATGCTTATGTTGTGATCAAGAGAGGGATCCCAGTGAAATTAGTCCACTTGTACTAATCACAAACTAATGCAGTATGGTATTCCCAAAGGCTACAAGCCCTTTCAACAGGACACCTAGAAATACATGCAGATACTATATTTAAGACATTGTTAACAGTTTTTTTAAAAAGGAAGAAAGAAGGAAAGGAGGGAAGGAGAGAGGAGTAATGAGAGAAAAGAGGGGGAAAGGGAGAGGGAAGGAAAGAGGGGAGAGGCCGCAGTGCTGATAAGAAAAGTTTTGCTGCTTTTCTGGGCCTCGATCTGAAGCACAACTGAGGTCTGTATGTATTTGATGTGGGTCAGAACCTCATTGTCCTGGGGGCTTAATGATTAAGGGCTATTTTCCCACCCTCTTAACCCTCATAACTAGCAATATTTTCCTTTCCTTTTTTTTAAACTTTTCAACAGCTGTCTCCCTGAAAGGAAATGCTACTTTCCTTCATCTGTGCTCTGTTAAAATCATAATAAAATTATACCAGAACAAAGCTAGACATGCTGATTCACCCACAAAGTTGTATAACTCTTAATTCTCCTGCACAATGTTGTTCAGAAAAAGAAAATCTGTATCAAGAGTAAAGGGGCTTTGAATTCTACATCTGGTTGTTTTAGGAGATTTATAAAGTACCCAAGAGAGTTGACCCCAAAAATTTCTAAAAGAGATTTGGGTGAAAATTCAGAGAGGAATTTTCCACATCCCTGCTGTTGAATAAAAACTCATTAGCTAAGCAGACCGGACTCTACAGGGAAGTAAAAAGGGGGGGC